GCTCTACTACTTTATATCCAACTTATGAAGTACTTTAATAGTCTTACCATACTCTAAGACTGTTAGGAAAACAGTGGTGGTGAAATATCATATTAGATTTGTTTATTTGCATTATGAAAAACAGTGTAACAGTATTATTTACCTGATGACTTTTTTAACACAATACCAACACATTCTCACAAGTATGTAAACTTCAAGTCATCTCAGCCAATGTCAGTTAACGCAGGTTTAGTCAAATGTCTAAATGAAAGAGCTAAAACATTGACTAGTAAGTGAAGGGACCGAAGCATATAAAAAAAGCGCTAATATTTATTAATTATCCCCTACAGCTAATTAAGAAATCCGTACGAACACATAAGAAACGAAATAATAACAATAACAGTAATAGGAATAGTAACCTGAAAATGAGCAGAAAAGAGTCCAGAGCCTCTTTGTTGTTATCATACAACGAAGAAACATTCTAAACTTTACGTAAGGTTCTTAACAAGGCTAGAACTTGGATGACATTTAAACCTACAAACTCAATCAGATATAAGCTTTGCCAGCCATAGGATTCGAGAAACGAAACTAACCAAGATAATCTAATCAACCAAATTCCATGTAATGATTGTGAGGTCGTTCATAGGTCAAACTAGCCGATCGGGTCAGTTAGAATAGTGGGACGTAAGAATTTAGCTAAATACAGAATGACAGACCCCAATAACATCAGTAATACAGAGAAACACTCGGCTATTGCAGTGCATGCATTAATAATCAACTACTCAATAGGATAGGTGACATCAAACAACTGTACTTAAGTCCAATATAAATAGGTGGATACAGAGACTGATTACTGAAGCTTTATTCATCGAATCTACACGCAATATCAGTAATAGGAATGACCCATCACCTATACCGGAGATATGCAGAACTTTAATACCAATTAAAACAAAGAACACCAGGTGATAGGACTATAAAAATCAGACATTGAAAAGAGTATGATTACACTGATATGATTATGAGCAATGATTTACTCTCGAAACGTCGTCAAGGGAATAATACTGTCTCACAATGTGCTTTATAGCAAGTAAATAAATCTAGTGTGGAATTACATCCTACCCCAGTGCCTAAGTTGTACACTTATGCTAGTGGTGGTAAAACAGCTGAAAACATCACAAAGCCACCAACTTTAGTGACCATGTTTTTAGAACCTACTCTAGGCAGTACAATAAGTCACTAATTGGCGTTGAGATATCTTATCAGTATAACAAAGGCTAAATTTTATAGAAAGATGATAGATTTTCTAGTATTTTCACCATAATTTCTGCTACTATTGAACAACCTGAGTTCCTATGAACTCTCGGACAAATAGGGCAGTTAGCACACTTAATAACAATACTCAGCTTACTGATAAACTAAGAATAATGTTTTCATCAAATTTTAGCTCAAAGGTACACCCTTGATAAGCACTTATCATTCAATCGTTCAAAGTTTTGGCGAAAATGGTTACAGTTTAGTCAATCAGGAGTACAATATGGCTACAAAGATAACTGAAAAAATGTTGTATTCCATGAAGTACTGGGGATAAATTAGGAGTCCACCTGACAGTTTTGTGATAGTTTACAACAAGAGGTGATAATATGTAAGTTAGGCGTTGTTGAATATATCAATCAACCAAAGTTTTCAAAATATTTATCAACGTCGATTTTAGTATAATTTCCTGTCTTCTGCTAACTTATGAGGAAATCTGTTTTAACTCAGCCGGCCATTTTCATTCCAAACCATTAGAACACGAAACATTTTCAACCAACCAAGGTTTGAACTTTTATGCGATTATAAATCATAAAGAAATTGGTTAGATTTTCTGCTTACCACTATTCTTTTCTTGTTTAAAAGTAAACTATATAATAGACATGTAAGTTGTAGCAAAAAAGACGTTGAGTACACTTTTTACTGCCTGTGTAAAGTATAATTGCTTCGTTGTTTTTGGATATTTCCACAGTAGGAAAAAGATCACGTAAAACTAAAATTTGATTGGCAAAATTCGTCAGAACTCTGATTAATTTCATTCGTAAAGTAATTCAACTATTCTACGAAAATATTGTTCTCTGCGCCCGAAGATACAAATTAACTCATGCCTAGAATGCTCAAAGTTCACTAATAATCAATGAAACTTCCGATTTACATTACATTTATTAGTTGAACAGTGTTAAATTGAAAACAAAAAATGAGGCCAAATGACAGTTTTGAACAGCCTCTTTTCATAATTAGGAGGATATTTTCTGAAGAAATTCAGGGTGATATGAACTAGTTTGGTCATTAGCTGTGCCTGAAACAGCTTTAAGCTGTAGAAATCTCAAGAAGAAATCTATCTTGAAATGCGTATTTTCTAAAACTAAGCTCTGAATAATGTAGTGGTATCAGCTGTATTAGACCATTGGAATTTATTCCAAGTAATAATGTAAGAGCCAGTATTTTTTCAAGTTGGCATTCATCATGAACTGACACCACTTTCAAGAACCAATGGAAGTCTGAGAGTGTCAGACAGCTGTTCCGCCTTATTATGGAACTCCTCAGCAGTAGCCACCCATGGCCTTCAACTGCTAAGGAGTCTCACAATAGCACGAAACAGATGTTCAGTTCTCCTAGGTTTTTACTGGTTATTTGTATGATATGAGTTCTTGATGATAATCTACCTGAATTCAGTAAAATCTACACAAACTTCTAAACTGAATCACTAGTTTTATTTAGATCCCCTGTTCTCAATAAGCTGGTTCCTCATGCCATTCTGAACCAACTTCCCTTTTGCTGGTTCATCTAATTTGTGAGCAGCTAGTTAATTTTACCACAGACAGTTAACTGCTTCATGGTTAATGGTCAAGTCATATGGTGAATTGATTTATGCTAATAACTAGAGTTCACCTACTTGTTTCCTATGAAGTGTATGGCTACTGAAGTTGGTTACTTATGAAATGAAGATTACACACTACTTTAGACAAGCAGTCACTTTGGTTTCAAACTAACCCAGATTTACCCAGGTGCCCTAAAAGCAACTTGATCTAATGATACTATACTATAAACATTGGTCATTTTAAATACAAGAAGGGCAGAGATGAGAAACATGGGTTGTATGTTATGATTAGGTGTACTTTTAGCGATATAGTCAGCTGAGATGAGTCTAGTATATAAAGTTCTTTTACTTGTACAAGCTACGTTCGTTTACCTTCTGTCCCACTTTACTTATTGTATAAGAACCGTATAATCTTAAAAATGTACGTTTAGCAGCAACAGACATTTGTCCTATGAGTCTGCTTTAAAAATTCATTACTCTTTCCCTCCTTCATCACTGTTTTCTTAGTGAGGTTATCTTTTCATGCCTTTTTCCTCAGTTTAGAGAAACACAGCCTTCCCATACAATACTTTCACTGACAATTCATACCAAAGGAATGTTAGTTCGTATTTTAACGTGATTTTATGTTTGAGGTGATGATCAACTTTGCAGTGGATAAATGGATTGATTTATATGTCTTTCCTGATTGGATTGTTGACATATACGTTTCTATCGTATTCTAACCGTTTTGTGGTAATTGTTCATAACCATAACTATAGAGTTTTAAGAGGAATTGTGGAGTATAAATTAGACATCTACGTACAAAAGGCACCTAAATGAATAAACAGAAAACCTATTCCACAGGTTGCATGGTATGGGATAGAACAAATCAGAACTTATTTAAATTTGAGTAAAATGGACATCATGTTTTTGTGCTCATACGACAGAAAATAATTTATTCTAATTGAAGGCTTTTAAAGATAAACTTTCAGGATTGCTTTAATAGCCAATTAACTAGCTCAAACTCTATGTAACTTAAGTTAAAATAAAGGAATATCATGTAGATATCTCATGTCCTCAACACCAACTAGTCATGTTGTAGTTAGTAAAAGTAGATGCTGTGAATTGCATTTCAAAAGCGGTGAATCTAGTGTATTCTAAAAGATAGTATTTTAACATGTGTATAAGCAGTTTCTTTTTCTCTAGACCTGTGGTTTCTCCTGTAATTTTCATCACAGGTTTAGACGACTGTATCACCACTTACTTCAAAAGAAATTAAATGTTTGTGAAATCGTCTAACCTGGTAACGAAGCTTCCAAGAACAAGCTTTAAAGATCAAAGAAGACCAAAGAACCACCAACCTTATCCTCAATGATAAATCTTCTCCATTATCTCGTACCTCTGAGAGTTACACTGTGAGGGCTTTGTCAGTTGTGTGATAAGTAACCATTTAAGTAGTTCATATCACTTTAAAACAAGGAATACATGAGATTTGCCTTTATCTTTTGTGGTTTTGATGAAGATAAACAGTCAGTATCGATAAATTACGCACTACAGCACATTTCAGCACATTTTCAGCTTCTATTTGGCAGGCGCAGCGTTCCACTGACAAAACTCGGTACAGTTATCTGGCTTACGTTATTTGAACGCTTGATGGCACTTTTTTTATCATGTCTGTTACTTATTAGCGACGAAACTTCATCCATTCAATCTTTGATGAACAACTATATTTCAAACTGAATAGTGGATTATATCGTCACGAAACCCTATCTGACATAAATTTACTTCGGTATTTCCTTGAACTGAGCATTCCAATTCTCAACAGTTGACTGTGCGTTTGAATAAAGTAACACTTAGATAACCAAACGAGCATTAAAACACATATGGTTTATTACTAATAGCATAAAAATAAAGTCACTTAATGTCATTAAACTGTATTTATGGTATCAAAGAAAATGAGGTTCCTTCATATAACTGAGCTAATTAAGTCAAAAGTGCTATCAAGGGCATTCCCACTCATTTGTTCAGGAAATAATCTAATATAGTGTGCATGAAACACTTGTCTTCAAAGTTTCCGGAGAATAACGATCACTCACTCAAGGTCATCCAGCTAAGTAAACATTAATGAGGCCTTATCATATTAACTAATTAATACGATCCATATTTCATCATATTTATTGATGTAACTTACCCTAACAAAATAGGTAATCAATAGTAGAGTAAGAAAATCAATGGAAATCCACGCCATTTATTACAGCTCCGGTACAATCAATTAACTTTGCGTACTGCCATGTGAGATAAACATTAAATTCAAAGTATGATGCATCATAAATGTGTCAAACAAGAGTATTAGGCACTATGATTCAATCTATAGACGCTCAAAATTTCACGCTAATTTGGTGTTAAGTATCACTTAACCAATAATATTTCAGAACTGGTCAGCGAATCATGTGTAAGGGTGACATGGAAATGTTCAATATAATTTTGTTTAATACCTTGTCTTATTTACTCAAACTACTAATAGTAGTCTATCTGTTATCACTAAATATTTGCATTCTAATTACTGGGTTAACATGTTGTTCGGCGCAATACGAAAAAACTTGGATTGAAATCCCATTTGTCTTAGTTAGCTTGTCACCAATGAATTATTAGACTGAAATGAGTGGCTCTACCCACTCTGTTTTCAGTGTTGCAACTTGGTATGGTTCATGAAGCTACTTTCGTATACTGAGGTTACTGATAATGCACTAAAGAATAACCATGTGTATTAACAAGAAAAGATGTTAGCAGTTAAACATCTCTGTACTTTCCTGAGTAACTAGTCGAACAACTATTTAAATTCCTGTGATAAAACAGGGAGTAAAGCGGACCTTATATTTCATATCAATATGAGATGACTTACTGTTAGTGAGTAAACTACGGAATCCAACCAAAAATTATTGCCTTTATTATTCTACATTATAACTTTGGTCACACTTAGATATGATCAGTATCAATGAATAAATATGCATAAACTAACAGAATGCAGCACACAAATCATAACTTGAGGTCAATGAAATTGGCAGTCGAAAAGCATTTCGTGAGTTTTGCTTACTCAAGAATTCTACACGCCACAACTGTTAGACGGTTAATCAGATGATGAAGATATTTATAACTTTGAACACTGCCAAATAACTGGTAGTAGATGAGATGAAGTACGCAAGGCTGTCATTTACACAGAATTATATTCGAGGCCGAAGATGCAGTAATTCGAGACTTGATACCTGTGAATCAGATATATTCATGTACTGAAACTGAAAATTTTCCAATACCCCTGGTATATGATAAGTAACTATAAACGCCTTGCTTGTATCGACTCTATGATAAGCATTTACCAGATATTCAAGCACGCAGCTTTTTATTCTCATTATTTGTTCTCGACTCGTCCACTATGGATACTGTTAAGATATTCTACTGTAGACTTGCCTTATTGCAAGCCTTATGTAACTGGCTCCACAACAGCAGTTGAGATGACAAATGCACCGAAAACTGACCAACTGTAGAAGATGCAGAATAACTTCGCAGTATTGAACATTCCCCGGAAAGTCCTTCCCGAAATGTTGCGTTGTAATCTTGCTAATGATCAGACCTTTGAATTTAAATCTCAATAAAACTGATCTCCTAACGACCGTAATCAACCCTAGTTTAATTTTCGTTTTTTTCATGTTCCTGGTTGCAAAGTTGGCAGGATATCCGTTCTTAATAAGCAGGCTGTGAGCAATGTCAAACACCCCCTTCCTGTGGTGTCATCAGAGTAGATGAAGTCTGCGTGATAAACCAAGCATTTAACCAATTTTCGTTTATATATCACGGGTACAGAGCTATAAGAGTAGTTTTACTGGCTAGTCGATACTGACTTTCTGTATGTTTCGGCCTCCCTAATAATAGGCAAACTAGGAACGATATGCAGTAATTTCCTACTTAACTAAAACCTTTCTGGGGAGAAAATTGTCTTCATTATTCAATGGTCTCACATCCCAACTACTCTGTATTGAAATCAAGACAGAAATCAAATATAAACGGAGTCAGTTGTTGCATATTCAAGTAATCAACAATAACAGAATAAAAATACAGAGATTTCCCATGGTCATAACAAAACAGTGACCATGGTTACTCAAAACAACCTCACTATCAGTGAATAGAACTGTCTTACTAACAATTTATCCTAAACTGAGATGATTATGGACTAAAAGTATTGAACCAAAATAATACTGTTAGGTTGTAAGGGAAAGTCAGTGAGAAACTTTGGACCTACATTTTGAGCTGGTTAGAGCTCATCAGTAAGGCATGCTGAGTCATCCGCTTACTTTTTTCTCTTCATTTTTTCCCTTCTACGTTCTCGTGGTCACCACCAAACTCATACTGCTCTATGCGCCCCCTGCAACAACATACTTACTTCTTACAGGCTAGACGAAAACCTATCAACAACTGGTCGTTACAAGTGTTTTTGTGGGCATGAGGAAACAAGTTTTTCCTCCACAGATCCGAACTCGTGCAATGCAGTGCTGAAGTCACAGCTACTATATTACTGAGCTTTTCGAGCTGTGATATGTCCTCTATATGACTGGATTATGCACATTAGCCTATCATTACAGAGTAATCGATCTCATGTTATTCAATCAGGGCTCATCCAACACTATTAGTCCATTACATTTATCTTATAATGAAATTTTTTTGATTTTTGTATACTTATGTTACATAAATATTTTGAGCTTATTTTGACAGACTAATTTTGATCTATTGTGTTTCTCACAATATTCATTTAGAATATGTATTTGGACGGAATAGTTCCTTATGAATAGTTCATTTGAAGAAGACCTCCTAAAATCTTTGAATCCTTAATAGATGAATACAGTTTCTTTCACAAAATATGGGTAAAATGAATTTTCGAAAATTATAATTGTAAACATATACTTCTCATACAATATCATCCACGTTAAAAAATATCATATTTATAGTGTAATCATCAAAATGATTATGAATGGTAGAGATGAATCACCTGATATACTACTGATACTACATTGATTACAAACATTACCCTGTTTTCATTTTGTGACTGACGACATTCATCTGTTGTTTTTAATAATTTCCATTAATTTAAAGATAACAGATACTTTATCAATTTTCAGTTTTTATATACAGTGAATATACATAAATTTTCTTGAGTTCAAAAATTCTGCTGCTCAGTCACTGCCAACATAACTTCATCTTCATATTGAATACTCATCATCTATGACTTTTAACAAAACCATTGATTTCTGGTTTCAATATTTCAGTATCCTAGAGAAAGTATTATGTTGTCTATGTCAATTAATTGTAGGAACACGTTTCTACAAATATTTTAAACACCAATGTAAAATTTCTACTTAAATCAATTTTGACCATTCGTTAGTAAACACTTATGTTACAAGTTTGAAGTGATGGAAAAGATTTCCAGATAAGAATATGAACGACCGTGGTTTAGGGTTTCCTCAACTTTACGCAGTTAGTTAACATTAACGATGTCACCAATCCTGATGGTGATGCGTCTCTACAGACAATTTATGTTAGAAGAACTCCAGCGTTGATTAATCTTGCCCAGCTTTCGTATTGTAAACCATTTCAGTTGTCACAGTGTATTACGACAACCAAAAATTACCACCCTACTCACGATCAAGTGATCCATCATTGCGTATGACAAACACAGCTTCACACGTATTCTTCTGTCCATGTCACGTGAATTTATTCAAACGTTTCATCAAATATTTCATGCCTTGATGCTTCATGTCCACTGAAAATGATATCGTTTATTCATCGATAATTGATAACAACCTCTTGAGATTTAGCGTAATTCGTCTTGCGATCTCCTTCTTGTCATCGTACATGTAGCTGGTTGCGGCTGGTGGTCAGGAGACTTCGAGACATGGGACTTGTTCCATCTTTGTCTAACTGATTCCGAGGTCTTTTATGCATCTGCGTTCATGTAAGAAGTTATTCGAAGCAGCTACTGGTGTGGAGGTTTCATCACTTTAGTCCACCCACAGTTTTTATAGTTAATTTGAGTAACGTTTCTCATCAAACTTGAGATTAATCTCAGTTCAAACGCATGGAAATGCTTGTGTTTTTCATTGTTATGTGTTTGTTTTATCGAAGAATTTTGCAAAAAGAGGAACCAAAGTTATAACCCTTTACCAACAAATTGAAAGCATCGAACATTAAATATAACAATCTATAATGTCAGGTAAATTTACTCAATGGAAACACAGTGTACTTCATCAGTCCAGTCAGCAATAGCTAAACTCAAGCAAACGTTTTGCAGTAAATTTTTATGCCTGACATACTAGCAGTGCCAACTTTCTAGTACCGACTGGTGAACAAAATCTATGCTTACATTTTGAACGATACCATATAATTACCGTGTCATATTGTTTTGAATAAACGGTCATCTATAGGGTCTTTCCCTTATACGATTTCTTTCATATATCTGGTTTGATTACCCTGTTGTTTTGAAGTAATGATTTGGCATCCACATAGGAGTCAATTTTTTAGCAGCATTAATGAATTATCTAGTATTTCAGAAACTAACCTATAAACTTTCCTAAACAAGTGTGACTACATAGTTCGTATTCCTCACATATGTTTCCTTGCATAAAAGTATCAAATTTTATTCTCTTTTCTGTGACCGACAACCCGATGGACTCTAAACCTAATAATTAACTCATAAAATGTTATCCGCTTTATGAGTTATGGTATATTTTACTCACATACGTGTTGCAAGCTATATTAGCACCAGTTTCCTCGTTATTCTATCTAACCAGATGAGTGATTCAGACATTAAATAAGGTAGTCATTATCCTGGACTGTAACCAGTCCAAAAAACAGTGAAAAGCGGGAGCACTGAAAAGTTTTTTTGCCCTGGCGTAGGACTCCCCTGCAATTCGCATCCATGACCGCTAAATTCACGGAGTCAAGGACAATTAAGTTTCACAGCAAGCCCGCTACCATCCAGCCACTGGGTTGAAATTTATTGGTCTAGTATTTTCTACTGAAGACAGTCCACAATAAGAACTTCTTTCAAACCAATAAATTTGTATAAACCGCCAAATAGACATTGTGTATGTATCATCCTTCGCTTTGGTAACCTATTCAACAACTTTCATCTCAACAAGTCTTCAAGTCCTTACACGTACAAACAATTCAGCTATACCTGTATTCTGAAAATGGGATACT